CCCCGTTATGCTGACTGTAAAAACCTTAAATTTCAAAAACAATTGGATAAACCCAGAATTGTTGTTGTCCTCCATTCATTTTCCTTCATACTGACTTTTTGATTACCTTGATAATTAAGAAATATGATTAGATAGTGTATAATAACAGTTTTGGTAGTTAGAAAAAACCCTTTTCTTAGATATCTGTACATCAGACAAAAAAGAGGGACAACAATGGAGTAAAGAGAGATAGAAGGATTTGGTTCCAAATGAGGGACTGTCCTTCAAAATGAGGAACAGTTAACAAGTATGAACATGTCTCTACCCTCCATCTCTGCATTGTCACTAACTTACAGACAGTGAATGTAAAATTAGATGTCAAGTTCATAGAAATGTCTGTTCCATGTAGTTTTATCTAAAGGAGCTACAATGACTTTTGGCAGAGAGATGAAGCCCCAAGGGGGCTTATGTAAATGCTGTCACTTAAACTGAAGGGTGGATATAGAGTCAGTCATTTTAGGTAAGTATATTACCACAAATAGCACAGCTAACCAAAATCCATGCAGCTATATATTTCTCCATATGGACATACCTAGAAATACCATGGACTCCTCCCTTCAGAAAGACCTAACCAACTAAGACTTTTACTAAAACATTTACAAGTTAAAGTAGAGTTAAAGTAATGTACCTCTGGAAACATGGTTTCCCTCTGGCCTCAACAACCCTAAAGCTGTCTCCTGGTGGACTCCACTCTTTCAGAAAATATACCAACTACTTACTCCTAAAGGCAATTTAGCTTTTAGGAAATAAAAAGCAAGGTCCACATTCCTAATACAGTGCACGATATGTCCACAACTCATGGGGATATATCTACACTTTGCCAAACCCTTATTGCTACAGCCTCAGAATCCTCACATACCTACACCAAGAGATGGGAGACAAGCATGGCAATCACTGACATGGGAATAATGGGAAACTTTATGGGTTACTCTAGCCATGTGCTCTAATAACATGCTGATGCTAAAATCAGCTTACAAAGTGCTAATGTACTGGTACCTAATCCCAACTAGAATTGCCCATGCCATTCTCTCCTATCCAAAAACATGCTTCTGAAGATGTCCCACAGATTGCACCAGAATTCATATTTGGTGGCCTTGTGCACAAATAACCTGGTTTTGATCCAGGGTATATGGCTTTGTTGATAATCTATTTAACACTATACAAAGACCCATGCCACTTATTACCTGAGCAAAAATAAATAAAAAAATGGAATCCCACATTTTCATTATAGCAAAAGTGACAAAAAACCAAACATCCCTTTTGATAAGGTAAAAATGAGAGCACACAGTACAATGATAAATAAAAAAAAAACTAACCAGCAACCAGCATCCTTAGAGATAGTAGTGGAAAAAGTCATGGCATTAGGCATTCATTCGCTTACAGCTGGACATGAGCTTTTTAACCAATTCAAAGACCAGAGCATCCTCCTGAGGAGTTTGAGAATGGTTTACCATTCTTTTAAGAATTTCACTGTTAAGTTTAAATACCATATGAACTTCACATGTTGTTCATACTCTCTGTCATTCCACATGTGAGGAAAAAAGACTATATACCGACTGTATACCTAAATCCTGAAATTATATATTTTTCCCCATGCCACCGGTTAGTATTAAAAGTACATGTGTTGTTTAATTTTCATTAAGAAACATGAGATACCACTGCACCTTCCACCGTGCCCATAGCCTTGCCAAGTACTGTGGCTATGTGACCAATAATTAAACTCAAGAAAAGCTTTTTAGCCCTTAATCAAACACATAATTCCTGCTAGAGGGCAACAGGGTTCCCTTCTTGTTATTTTAATACTTTCCTTTACATCTACTTTTGAAATAGGTTAGCTGTCATACATGTCTGCAGACTTTTCTTTTCACATACAAAATCAGTTCTGTTTTTGTTATTGTTTTTAATATATACATTTTTTTCTATTTATCTCTAGCTAGGTCCCCTGGGACAATGAACAAATGTTTCTTCTGGATCATAGGAGTTACTGTGATTTGCCTGGTCATTATGAAGTTTTCCTGTATTTTCTCAAACACAATGAACATCAATATGTTTATGGACATTATGAAAACAAGGAAACCATTGTTAACAACACAGGCAATGCCCACTGAGAAGAAAAAAGTTGTGGAGCAACCGAAACCTCTGACTGGTATGTGGACTGTCAATGCCATTGGTCGCTTAGGTAATTTAATGGGAGAATATGCCACACTTTATTCTCTTTCTAAGATGAATGGTCGACAAGCCTACATCTTGCCAGAGATGCACAACCAACTATCAAAGATCTTTAAGATTCGACTGCCAGTGCTTAACCGTGATGTAGCTAACCGTATCAAATGGAGGGGTTATGGACTTCATGACTGGATGTCTGAGGATTACCGACATATTGAAGGAGAATATGTTCATTTTGGTGGCACCCCATGTTCTTTTACATTTTACCACCACATAAAAGATGAGATTCTTCGTGAATTTACATTCCATGACTTTATTAAAGAAGAGTCTTATGCGTATCTGAACAATGTGCGTGGTGACAAGAAAAATTTCACTTTTGTGGCTATACATGTCCGTCGAGGTGACTATGTGCATGGTATGCCCAACACATGGAAAGGGGTGGTTGCTGACAATGGATATTTTCCAAAAGCCATGGATTATTTCAGGAACAAGTATGAAAGCCTGCTGTTTATTGTGACCAGTAACGGGATGGACTGGTGTAAAGAAAACATCAATAATTCAAAGGGAGATGTTCACTTTGCTGGAGATGGTCAAGAGGGATCTCCTGGACGGGACTTTGCCCTCCTGGCACATTGCAACCACACTATCATGACTGTTGGAACCTTTGGTATTTGGGTGGGGTATCTGGTTGGTGGGGAAACCATCTACTTAACAAACTACACACTGCCTGACTCTCCTTTTCTTAAACTTTTTAAATATGAAGCTACTTTTCTCCCAGAATGGATTGGAATTCCCGCAGACCTCTCTCCACTGTTGAATAACAAACAACCTTAATGATAACTTAGGAACTCCACTGGAGTTTAACATAATACCAAGAGTATTTGGAAAATGAACATCTTTTGAAATAGAAATAGAAATTGTGTTTCATACAATACAAAAATAGAATCTATATTTTATAATTTATTTTGATACCATCTGGTATGTTGTTACAAGAATATTACCACATTTAAGTGTCAGATTTATGAACATCAGAGTAAACAAATAGAAATTGTCCAGAGGAACCAATCACTTTTTATTTATTCTCACAGGGAGAATGAAAGCTGACACCTGACTGTTTGTTCAAAACATTTTCTTCTGCTTTAGTTGTAATTTTCTCATTATCTAGTACCATATCATGTCTTATCCCATTAATGTGAAAAAAAATCTACCAGCCAGTTCAGATAAAATTGTCCCAAAGTATATCTTGTGTGAGAGGGAGCTTTATAGATCTGCTAAAAAAAATTTTCAAACAAATTTTATTATTGGACAACCTTGTCGCGTCCCCTTGCCCAAAGCGAAGGAGGAAGATATAGCTCCCTGGGTCAGTATTCTCGCGACCGGAGAGGCATACATACTGTGTAGGAGGAGAGTATCCTGCCCCTGAATCCAAACATAGATAATACTCGAAACATCCATTGCATATTGACGTTGTCAAATGCTTTTTCAGCGTCCAACGTAATAATGGCCAATGTAGCCTCCGGATCAGATCGGGACATCTCCAACGCCAACAGCACTTTTCTCAGGTTTGACAAAGCCAACCTGCGCAGGGTGTATTTGACAAAGCCAACCTGCGCAGGGTGTATTAATGTGGGCAATATATTCGCCAATCTGTTTGCTATAAGCTTGGATAAAATCTTGACATCTAGATTCAGCAATGAGATGGGCCGGTAGGATCCTGGATTAGTCGGATCTCTCCCCTCCTTAAATAGCAACCGTATGTATGCCTCCTGACCGGTAGCGGGGTATGGACCTCCCTCCCACACTTTATTGTATAGGGCCTGCAGGGAGTCTATTATATCCTCCTGCAGTACTTTATACATGTCAGCCGTGTATCCATCTGGTCCTGGCGCCTTGCAGCTAGATAAGTTCTTGATCACCCCTAGAATTTCCTCCTTGGAGATATCTGCGTTAAGTAAATCTAATTGCTCTAGCGAAAGACTTGGGAGACGAATATTATCTAGAAACCGTATGGCCGCTGTTTCATCATAAGAGTCCTCCTCATAGAGAGCCCTAAAAAACTCCTCCAATATGTTATTAATGGCTATTGGGTCAGTGGTTAGCTCAACATTGGGACTACAGAGAGTTAGAATGGGGTTAGGGCGGTAGCTACACTTGGCCAGACGTGCAAGAAGCTTCCCTGATTTGTTCCCAAACTTATGGAGACGTAGGCCTGCATAGGAAGCTTTAATGTTTTCCTGCCTTTGTGCCCATAAGTCAAACTCCTGCTTGGCTCCCACCCAGTCCTGCTTGTGAGCCGAGGATGGGTCCGCTATCATTGAGGCGTGCGCCATCCGTAGACGAGCACTCGCCTCATGATATGCTTTCATGGTCTTTTTCCGGTATGCAGAGACATAAGAAATAATCTTACCCCGCATACAGGCCTTGACCGCTTCCCAGAAGAGGGTGGGATCGGTGTATGTATCGCATTGCACATGGCATAATCCCTCCAGGCAGAGCGAAGGAAGTGTTGGAAATCCTCGCTGGAGGACAGAAAGGACGGGAAGCACCACAAAATCATGTTCTCCACCCGCGGCGCGTGGCTTACCACCACTGAGATCGGGGCATGATCCGATATCACCAAGTCATGAATCTCAGGACCTCGCGTGTTGGGCATCAGAGCATCTGAGCTGAAGAAATAGTCCAGTCGTGACAGGCAGTCGTGTACCAGGGATACGTGCGTGTACTCCGATTCTAAGGGATGCGTGAGCCTCCAAACATCCCTGAGACAGAGAGCCTCCATCGTAGATGCCAACACCGACTGCCTGCCAGAACCGGACCGTCTGCTCTTGGGAATAGTCCCCGAAATCCATTTCCTGTCCTCCAACGTGGACATTGTCAAGTTAAAGTCTCCTCCAATCAAATGGTGGGGCGGATCAAACTTATTAATCCAGCCAGCAAGGGATTGGAAGTCTGCTAGTGTGGGCGAGTTGGGAAAATAGACATTTGTTACAGTAAAGAGCGTGTGTTCAGATTTCAGGGTGACAGACAGTAATCTCCCTTCGGTATCTCTGTCTACCCCCAACACTGAATAGGCAAGATATTTACGAAGCAATATTAGAACACCAGCTGTGCGGCCCTGGGATGGCGAGCACAACACTTCCCCTACCCATAGGCGTTTCATCCGAAATATATCCTCGTCCCTGAGATGCGTCTCCTGCAATAGGGCTACATCCGCCCTCAGGCGTTTCAAGTGACGCAATACCTTGGTCCGCTTCTGGGGGGAACGTAGACCCTTAACTTTCCACGAGATTATTTTCATGAATGTATACGAGATGGGTCAGGATTATTCATGCACGGTTCCAATAGGTGTGGATAGTGCATTGCAAGGGCATTATTGAGACGTTCCCCCCAGAAGCTCGCCCAAGCAACCGCAGGGAGACATAACAGAGAGTAGGCAATCGGCCATCTGAAGTGACACAGCGAGACATGTACCAGCAGTAGGTGGGACCTTATTCTTATCATAGTGCAATTAGAACATGATAGAACATAAACAGTGCATGAAAACCATACAACATGTACAGTGGAAGAAAAATAAAACATATACTTTACTGACTTCGCCATTTCCCTATGGACGCAAAACGGGATATGCGCTTCAAAACCTGTTACAGGTCATCCTGGCAGTATATAGAAGAGAGAACTACACACGAAGGGTGTCCGCTACCCATATCTGCTCTATAATTATGATGGGAAAGAATGAGAACAGTTAGCGTAATTGAACAGTTGGTTCACTCCTGTTACCATCAACGCTTATGGTATTTGCGGGGGGTGCCCATCACCCGCTTTGGTATTTTGGTGGATTTGAGTGGTGAACGTGGAGGCAAGGGAGATTTGGAGGGAGACCCAGTATTTGTAGCATCCATCTGATTAAGGAATTGTAGTGCTTCATCTGGATCCCGGAATGAGTAGTTGCGACCTTCAGCTGTGGTAAGATGCAGGACGGCCGGATAGGCCAGTGTGAATTTGATCTGCTGGCGATATAAGTTGGAGCATACCTCACTGAAAGCTTTCCTTTGTTTCGCCACTTCCGCCGAGTAATCTGCGAATATTAGTACTTTATTCCCATCAATTTGAAGAGATTTAGCAGCTCTATATTTTTGTAGGATCTGGAGCTTGTCGGCGTAGTTAAGGTACCTGACGATAACCGGTCTCAGTGCCTTGGCGTTGTCTTTTGGCTGCCCCAGGCGGTGAGCCCTCTCCGCTGTGCAGGCTGCAGAGACCCCTAGCAACGCCGGGATAGTGGATGCGCACAACGTGAGCAATTCGTTCGGCTTGTATGACTCAGGAAGACCCACTAACCTCAGGTTGTTGCGGCGAGAACGATTTTCAAGATCTTCTATCTTATCTTGCATCGCCCGTGAGGTAGTGTCACACATAATCAGCTTCAGCTTCAAGCAAGTCGTCCTCCAGTGAGGAAATGCGGTGTTCCGCTTCTTTAAGTGCTCGTGCCTGTGCTGACAGATCCTTCCTGATTTGGCCCATGCTGTGCTGAATGGCTGTCTCCACCGCCTCAGTGATAGTCGGTCTCAACAATTTGGCTACCGCTGCTGCTATCTTAGCATGTGTGCTGTCCTCATCCAGGCCCTGCACCTCAGAGGCCGGAGACATGCTTCTGTGTGGGGAAGTATCTGGGGCCGCCGCCATCTTGGCTGCACGTGATTCCCGAGTGAGCGCCCGAGACCGATTAAGTGATCGGGATCTCGATCTGGATCGTGCAGACGCCAGGAATCGGTCCATCCCCGGGCACCGGACACTCTGTTGGCCGTTTTTTTATGCAATTAGGATGCCGTAACGGGAGTGCCGTCTCCCTGCTGCCACTCACATGGGTGCCGGAACCGGAAGTCGATCTGCTAAATTTTTAATGAAACTTTAAATAAAAAAGATATTTTAGCTGAAAAATATATAGTTCTAGTGGGATTAATTATGCACAGTGGATTATACTTTTGGCAAGGGCTACAAAAGTAAGCCCCAGTTGTTTTCAAAGTCTCAATACAAAACGCATAAACAATGCATTAGGTAAATAGGTAAAGTTTCAAGAGACCATGTGTGACCTCAAAGTAAATGAAAACTGTAGCTTCTTGCAAGAGAAGTGGTAGTAAACTCATCTCTCCAGTAGCCTGTGTCTCCTACCTCCCCTCTGTTCCAGCACTATCAGTGTTTTCTGCGAGTGTCAAATGCCTGATTTCCCCCACATGGCTTGGTTCTATCTTTCGACCCCCTACATCACTTTTGAGTCCTGTAGTGATGCAGGGGTTGGAGGAAGTAACCACATTATGCAGCATAGGACACTACCCTAAGTGTCTAATGCGTAGGGCACTGATAAAAGCTGGAGTGCTATTAGCAAGCAAGGAGACACGGTCTTCCCGACAGGTGAGTATAATTTATTTATTCATTTATTAAGAGACCTGACAGGGTAACTTTTAACATTGTTTATAAATACAGCTAGTATAGAGAGCTTCAAAACAACTAAGCAACTATATCAGTGCTGGAGCCTTAAGCAATAAAAGAAGGCAGATGGTTAAAAAGTAAACCAGTTTTGGAATGATCTGATGGTTCTGTCGAATTTTATATGACTAAATATGCAGGGTCTTGAAGTTTTTATGGTGCAGTCAAATTTTTTGGGGTTTGCAGTGTTTTAAAATGTATGATAATGAACATAAATTGGTAAATGTTTATACTATCTCATGTCTGTAAAAAATAAGTGTTTGAGAGGCTGTTGTTTACAAGAATCCCTATAAAATCTCTGTATAAGAAGTTAGCAGTAGTCCATTACTAAAGGATTACTGCTTCCTAAGCTGATATTTGTACTCTTTTTCCATCAAGTCACCGTGCAGTCTGTTATTTAT